CGGGCGCTGCGCCCTGCGAGGTTGTAGCGGAGGCCGGCCCTGGGTGTTCAGGGGGCTCAGCTTCAGGCGGGGAGGACAGCGAGAGTCAGAGAGCACCAGAGAGACATTTACGTCTTTATTGTGCTAATTAATACAAAAGAGAGATCGGGGAGGAGGAGCCAGCAAGGCTGCGGCTCTCGGGGATGCCATCACCTGCCCAAACATCCCCCGCCACCAATGCCGACTCGGTCACCCCAGGCGGGCAGATTTAGCTTGGCACCAGCTGCTGCCATCACCACTCAAGCCGCTGGCTCCATCCTCTGTGCTGCAATGTGGATCGGCGCTCCTCGCAGCAGGGGACAGGCAGCCAGCAGCTCCAGCTGGAGCCAGGGCAGCAGCATCACAGAGCCTGCTGCAGAAACACAGGGACAGCGTCAGGGTCGCTCGGCTGGGTCTCCAGGGTGGCAGACCTGTGGAGCAGCACGGGGTGCTTGTTGAAGGCACCAGGCCAAGCCAGAGGAATCACCACGGGGGTCTCCAGGGATGATGTGTCTGGTTTGGAGCATCCCAGTAACCGGAACTCCTCAGTGCTCACGTCGAGGGGTGCACTGGTATCTATAAAGGACTTTATTGCCGAGATGTCCCACCTGGGTGCTGGCACGTTCCCAAGGGCTGAGATGTCTCCAACCAGCTCAGAGCTCTTGAAGAGCAGACTCTCCAGCGGTTTGGAGGGCTTGTCTTTCTTGCAAGGTGTCGAGGTGTTCTGTGACACCACATTTATCAGGCAGCCATCTCTGCTGGGGTGCTCACAGAGCAAACCAGACAGCTCAAAGGTGGCCTGTCCATGGTGGGCCTTGCAAAAGCAGACAAGACTGAGGTCAGAGATGCCCTGGGTCAGGCTGTGCAGTTCAGCCTTCACACAGCTGCTCAGAGACTCTGCCTGCTTGACAACACACGGAGAACTGCCATTTGCTGTGTTGTCCAAGTCCCCAGGGAGCTCACAGAAGTCAGCTTTTGAAGCACTGCTAGAGTCCATGTAATAACTCAGAACAGGAGAAGAGTGGCTGTGGCTGGAGGAGCTGGCCAAGAACCCATTTTCTAGGATTTCCTTTCTGGTCAGAATGCTGGTACTGTGCCTCTGGGTGGACAGCATGGTGCAGAATCCAACAGCTTACAGACAGACAGGATGACCCTGTCAGGATAAACCTGTTACTGCTCACCAATGGATTACAGAAGCAGGACTACTCTTGGCGAAATCCTGTCTCAGTCTTGCAATGAACTGAGCAGGATCCAGGACATGCAGGAGGGCATCCAGCCTATCACTGTATTTTCAAGTAAAAATTCTAACACAGCCTGTTAGCTGCTCAGAGGTCATTGTGGAATCTCCCTGAAGTTATATTTATTTGACCTCAGCCTCTACATTACTACTCCCAGATCTGTACAGGGGATAGAGATACTTTATCCTCACTCCTGGAGTCAAAGAGCCTCTAACCTCTGCTAGAATTAAGTCCCTTTGACAAGGAGGCACCAAAACCATACTCTGGCTAGGATGGGAGAAGGAGCTCTCATCATGCTTTTAATCCCACACATGATACCCTCACCACCAGCTCAACCAGGAGCTGACATCCAGCTCCTGCCTGAGGGACTAGGGCAGGCTAGACCAGGGGATGGCTACACTCTAAATCCATCTTTACTCTGAATACATGTTAAACAGTAATAAATAGCTTCTGAATTTTCTGTAAAGGGACTGTATAATCAATCTAGAACAAAAGTCTTAAAGAAACAAAAACCTTCTTCTCTTAGCACACAAGAAATAAAAGAAGGAATAAGAAAACAGATTAAATAGTACTACTTACTTTTAGCTCCTCTAAAGGCCCCTTTTCTACCAGCCTTACTTACAGCAGTTTTATAGTTCTGCTAATCAATTATCAGGCTGATTTCCCAATTAAGCTCGTTTGGGAGAGGGAGTGGCTTCTGTTTGCCTCTTTTTAAGCACAGGGGCAGTGAGGCCATGGCTGACTGATGGAGGAACTCTGAGATCTGTAAGGGCTGGGTTGTGTTTGTCCTGTTTTAAAGTGGGTCTTTAGTAAGGTCATGTCTTCCTTTAAGTCCTGCCTTGTTTTTTGTGAGCTGTTGGTTAGGAATACCCACGTGTACAGACCTTGCATTGATGATATAGACAATATATGTTAGAATATTTGGGCAATAGTCTCAGGAACAGGGTTGGTTTGTGGCTGTCCTAAGCAGGGCCAGGAGTTGCAGTTTGATCTTTGGGGGTCCCTTCTAGCCTGGAATATTCAGTGATTCTTTAACACATGTGATGCTCCTGCCCTGTGCCTGGGGCTGCTGGGGGGTCCTAGGTCAGGAGGGGTGAATGGAGGGCATCCAGTGTTGGAGTGGGGGGTCCTGGGAGTCCCGTGTCTGTGTGGAGATGGATGCAGAGGTGCTGAGGATGGTAATGAGTAGTCATGGGGTTAGTGTTGGGGTGAGTGAGGGTCCTGGGTCAGTTTGGGGGATCTTAGTGGTTTGGGGTCGGTACAGGGGTGGATGTGGAGGGATCCCTGGGTTAGTGCAGGGCTGGATGATGAGAGTCGTGGGGGTCCCTGGTCGGTGTGAGGGTGGATGAGGAGATT